GCATACGGGCCCAGGTGACTCTCATCCCCTTTAATCTATGAAGGTGACCTAAGCCAGACCTCCAGTCGATCCTCTCTCACTCTCTGCACACACTTAGACTTGCTAATTCATCTTCCTTTTCATCACTGCAACCTGCACCCACTGTGCAGGTTTCAGGCTCTAATAGTTTATTTTGTGAGCTGGAAATGGAGCTGAGGCACAAGCAGATAAGTATAGGGTAGGAGGCCATTTGGCTCATCTCTCCAGCACATCTCATTGGCCAAACATGGAGCAGAGATGATCGCTAAGACACCGGCTTACAGGCAAGAGAGCATGATGGATACGGAGAATCCGTTAAGCCTTTGGTCAATAAGGCTACAAGGTATTGCGTGAAGATTTCCATGGGTTTGTTTTGGCAGTGGGTGCTGATGATTTGGAGGATTGACAAGCACATGTAACTCACTGTTTTATATATATATATATATATATATATATATATATATATATATATATATATATATATATATATTTGATTTCTAGCTGAAATATGTAAATGTATAAAGCACTAATATAAAGAAATATAATTGAATGTGATGGCCAGTGTTGGGGAACATTACCTTTAAAAGTTACCCATAACCAGTCACTGCAGACACATTTGGTAAGTTTGCTTTGTCATGTCATGTTTCTAGCAATTTCACCAATGAAAAATAAATGTGTCAATGCAATTACATCAATTCTTTTTAATTGTTGGTCTATGTAAAGAGCTAGACAAACCTATTTGGCCAATTTCGGTAATGACACTCTGCCCAAGTTACAACACTTTACAGTAGTCTACGCAGGCTGCATTAACATATTTTTTGACGCACATCCTCGTGAGAGATGACAGATAACGAATGACTAATTATATGGGAGGTGAACATAAGCATTATATAAGTGTTAAAGTAAATTTGTGCAATAGAATGTTGCGAAAGATAAAACACATTGCCTTAAATGTTTAGACCTAACTTACTTGTTCATACTGAATGAGATCCATGCTAGCGGAAATTCCCTTTAACTGTCATTTATATTACAATATATTCTTGTACTATAAGCCTAGGCTAGTATGTGATTTAGATAACGTTACTTCGAAGAACACCATGCTACTACCACGGCACAACAAAGTGAAAATAGATTCTGGCATTTACAGCGTTTTAATGTAACGTTACTTTACCTGAAGTGAGTCGTTCACAAGCTGCACGTGCAGGTGTTGTTGAAACTCAAAAATGTTTTCTTCAACATGGGGCGCTTTTGCAGGTTTGTTTTCAATGGATTGTTGGTGAATTTCCTCTTTTTCAGCGCTCTTCGTGTTTTCTGTCTTCTAAAACCTTTTGTTAGTGTTTTAATGAGTGAGAGAAGCCGCTCCAAACGATTAAACGCGTGAGTGAGCCGTCACTGTCATCAGAATCAGAATGAGTCACACAGAATCGCGAATCGATTCAGACCATTTTGCAAAGGAACCAACTCCAAAAGTGATTCAATCGCGAATCGGACAAGTAGTTGTGATTCTAATAGCATATTTTGCCTATTTTATAATTAGTTGCATGGGTCATTATGTTTTACCTGAAAATATATATTGAAGCCTGTATGATTATAACAGTTTATATATATATATATATATATATATATATATATATATATATATATATATATATAAATTGAACATTATGGAATGTGGCATATTTATTGTAAATTATTTGTCTGTGCTCATTCATTGTTATAAATCATGTTCTCTCATAATCTTTAATTAAATGAACTCACTACATTTTCAAGCCACTTCTTACATTTGTTTTTGTTTTGTTTTTTTGTTTGTTTTTTGTTTTTCTTGCTGGAGAAGCCATTTCACTTGGATATAGGATATCAACCTGTCCTAAACTAAAGTCTGTGGTAACAAAATATTTCTATTTCAAGTAGATTCTTTATCACTTTCTATTCATCAAAGTATCCGGAGGAAACATATTGGTTTCATGTTTCTTGAGTTGCGAATGATTTCTGAAGGATCATGTGACATTAAAGACTGCAATGAATGTTGAAAATTTAATTCAACATAAAATTCACTTATGCATTGAATATAAAATTATTTAAAAAAAAAACAAAACAATTAACAATATTACCATTTTTACTGTGAAACAATAGAAAAAAAAAACTCTTACCCCCCTCACTTATGTAAGTAGAGCCTATTAATTTTAAATAACCTTTTCACAAAAGCAAGCCACAAAAATCTATTGCTATTGAAACATTGTATTCAATAAGCAGGATTCTCAGACACCTACAGTACTACCTGATAAAAGCTTGACTGATGGGAAGCTGATATAATTAATGTGGGTGTTTTAGAGAAACTCACTGAAATGGCTGACACCCTATAATTTCCACCGACCGCTCAAGCTATAATTTACCTCATTATACCACACAAAGGCACTTTGCATTATTTCTGAAAAGTTGTTATTTTATTTTTTTATTTGTCGTTTTCATGAAAGCACTGCATTTTAGATGATCTCATGGGTCTTTGTACATTATAATTATGAGCAACTGACCTCCCCGTCCCAAAGCCCACTGGAAATGAGGGATTTAAAATGTTCTTGAATTATTTAGCATTTGATTAGCTCAAAACACAGGAAAGTCGTGATCATGGACTTTTTAATTATTATAATTATTTTATTTATTTATTTTTTTTGCATGGAGTTCGACTCTTGAGACTCAAAACTATTTGTGCAAGTAGTTTATAAACTATGCATTGTAGTTCAATCAGAGATGAGCACTGGAAGCACTATTAAAATGAAGAGAAACAGGAATATAAATAGGCCTATGTATTTTTAAGCAAACCTTACTATGTCCTGATGTTCAGAACAAGACATTTTTATTTAAATTATGTTATGGATTAAAAATACACTTTGTAATAAAGTTTCTTAGCTGTGTCAATTTTGTCTTTGTATTGAAATGTCTCTTCCTATATTTTACGATAAAACAAGAGATGAGCTGCAAGAGAGAGTGGAAGTTGATTAATATGCATGGATAAATAATAATAAATACTGCAATATTCCATAAAAAGATCAGAATTGTCAGGGTGGTTTGTAGGTTCATTATTCCTTACATATAAACTTTTTTTTCCCCTTAGCTTATTTCCAGAACCAATTTGATACCAGGAAATTGCTTTACTGAAAACAGGTGTTTTGCTGATTGAATTACTTTTTATTCAAACATACATTTAGTTTTTCAGCATTTTCAACATTTCAACATTCAACATTTTCGGTGTAGTCGATTTGAAGCAAGCAGGTACGATGTTCTCACAAATCAAATCATCATCTTATGACATCAACATTTCAAGAGTTTTAATCTACTGAAAATTCCTCATCCGCCGGAGGGCATGAATCTACTGACGTTATTTGTGAACCAGAGAGAATGATTCACTGTGAGGTCGTCTCTTTTCCCAGCACTCCGAGACACAATGTTCCAGCCTCATTTCAATTACACTGCCAACTCATGCAGATCAATAATCAGCTATTATGAAATTAGACACTGATAAGCCATTTATTTATCTGACAAGTGAAATCCCAGAGAGACTGAAGCTCAGATTGATGCTGGGAAAAGATCGGAGAGCATCAATCACAGTTACACACTTTGTTTTCCATGACTTTTCCCATGTACTGTCCTGAAATGGAATCAAGCGGGGTCTTGCCTCCTGAATAAGACATTTTATCTACTAGTCTGTTTGTATTAATGTCAGGGGAAGAGTAAATTCAGGACATTTACTCATGCAAAGGAAGTTCATACATATTCAAGTAGTTAACCCGAAAGCTGGGGTTCTCTACTCTGGCCCCCCGAGGTCCATTTAACTCCAACTTTGATCAAATGTATAGCTTTCTAGTAATCCTGAAGACCTTAATTAGCCTGCACAGGTACATTTGTCTGAATTTGCACACTGTCTGAGTCAAAATTTCAACAATTGAACAATTTACATTTTGCAACCATTAAAAAAGTTATTCAATGAATATAGAATTTAAATTAGGATGTACTGCATCTGCCATGTTATAACTGTCAGCCCGTTCTCATCCCAAGGCGTCATACACTGACGCTTTTGACGTTTCGTTTACATCCAACGCACATGGCACCCTTTAGCGTTAACATGAGACGCAGATATATAAGGGCCAGAAGGCGCCTCCTAGTGGTCTAACACTAACCCTACCACAGAAATAAACCTACCCATAACTGTTCTGTGCATGTTATATTGACGCTAAAGGGTGCCATGTGCATTGGATTTGGATGAAATTTCAAAAGCGCCTCTATATGACGCCCTAGGATGAGAATGTGACCTACTAGCATCAGATGCAGTTGCTTCACTGCCATTAAAAAACTCCTCTCCCATGGCCTCATGGGATAGTAAAGTGTCCATCTGAGTTGGCACTTATCTTGAATAATAATTGGGCTACTCCATGATCTCTAAAAAAGTAAGTTCTATATAGTATAAATGCAATCTGGACGTACGCCATGTTGCGTCATGTCACTGCTATTCACAAATCCTCTCCCAAGTCCCGAGGCCTCGTGGGATATGTCTATGCACACTTCAGAATGTTGTAAACATCACCCTTCAGCTTGTAGTAGATGTGTGTGTGTTTATACGATGAAATCTTTAAGGAATTTTATAACAGGCATTTTAAATTAAAACCATTGTATACCTTACTAATAGTGTATTTGTTTTTTATGCAAAAATAAAATTACAAATCTGATTTGTTTTTTATTACAAATCTGACACCCCGAGACTAAGTATAAAGTTGTATTGAAAAATAGGAGTGTGTCCACAACACAGGCCCGGTGCTTTCGCTTCCAGAACCACAAGAGGGGACAACGAGGTTCATGATCATGAGCATTTATTGATCAAACTGAACTGAATTTCAAAATGTACTTTGCAACAGACAAAATATATGACAAAACATAATTATAAAATAATTGAATTGATAAATATATAAATAATGAACGGACACTCGATGTTCAGGTGACACCAAATACCATTTATTAGGGCTTTACAAAGACTACAAAATCCCCCAGATGAATTAAATTTGTGGTCTCTCTCTATTTACATGATATGTTACTTACAAATGTACAAAATATAAAACATCTACCAACAAATGTTCCACCTGAAAAGAAACATTTTCAAAAGTAGTTCAATGTTATGCGCTCACCGAGAGATGTGTTTGCCATAACACGAAGAAAACGAAAAGAATATTTCCGATGTACCATGGACAATCACTATTTGTGTTTGAGGTTAGGGAGCATTAGGCAGTTTGAAACCTTTACTGCACTTCTTATAAATGTTTCCGTTGAGTACTTTTACACTGAACAATTATGGTTGACAAGCAAAGCATCAGGCACAGAGTCACAGAGTTTGGAGGTTACATACATACTGTAGCACCACTGTAGTGCCGCGAGGAATCAAAAAGAAGCCGTTTCCTGAATCAACTAAAAGGTAGATTGGAAAGAATCAAAGGTTAAAGCCTGGCAGTGAGAATGAGTTACTCAGTTTGAGTCAGAAGGTGAAGCTGGATGTGGTAAAGGCCTGATCAAATAAGACGTAAAGCTTTTCAATGGTTCACCTATAGCACCTTGTACCTCCTGACCATGTACATCAAGCTAACAGATTCAGTTACTGCAAACATGTGCAAACTCTGGAAAGTCAAAAGTCTTTCACAGTAACATTTCTGGGAAGTCATAAGTGATTTACTTGTATGTATGAATGCCATTGCATTAGACTTGCATCTTCATAATAAATTATGCCAGATCTTCAAATAACTTCACTTTTCTGAGGTGTAGTTGGACAACTGAAACGTATCCTGGGCAACACTTTATGTTATAGTGTCCATGTAACATGTACCTACTATAGTAATAACAGTACATTATGCATAATTACAAGCAACAAAACCAAACCCTAACCCTATAGTAAGTACATGTTGTCAATTCTTAATAGTATTATTACACTGTAACAAGGACGCCTTAAAATAACCGTTATTTCCTAAATATATGCACGTTGTGTGATTTTGTTATCTAGTGCAATGACATTCACGCATTGAATTAAGCAAAATTAAGCATTTTGTCTATTGTCTGTCTGCTAGTTTTGAGGTCATTTATATGCTCTTGTACTCCTTAAAGAAACAAACAAAAAAAAAACTTTATGCAGATATACACATTTAGAATTTACAGTATTTCTCTTTTAAACATATTGCAATCATAATGGACTATAAATATTAATGGCTTATCCTGCATTTAAGGGCGTATAAACATTTCTGTCCAATCAATTGCTCTTTAGAATGAAAATATCAGGTTCTGCAATAACTTTTGGTTGTCAGAAAACATTCATGGGGTCTTTAAGCGTGGCTTACGTTCAAAGGGGCCAGTGTATCTGAAAGCTGCAAGACTGTAATGCAAGCTAGTGTGATGCAAGTTAGATGCATTGCAAAGAGAAAACAGGGAATCGCTCTGGATGATTTTGCGCCCTTGACCAGTAAACTGACACTAAAGTTTTCTGAAATTGAAAAACACTTCACCTCTCACTGTACAGTTTAGAGTTCTGTATAATAACCAGCTATTACAAGACATATAAGGTTTGGACAGGCTGCTGGTTTGCTTTTTTTTTTTTTTTTCTCAGTAAATCACAAGAGCGTAATGCTAGACAAGAAGAGCAGAAACGCAATACCGAGCGGGCAGAGTGCATCTTTAAGAGGCTGTGCAAGACTTGGATGTATTTACAATCACCTTTTCAACTGTGCAAAACCCACATAGCAAACCAAAATAAAGGATGAATGAACCTCGACTACACGAACACTGGCGCACGGGAGCGAAAAAAAAAAAAAAAAAAACGTTTCCACGTGCATGTAAACACATATAGCAAAGAAAAAAAACACGGCATGCTAGCGAAGCGACGCGTCGGATTTGTGCTCTCGATTCAAGTGATCCCAGCTCAGCTGGGATTACATAAAGATCTTTTTTACTTTTATACATTTGGACCGTTTTATAATGGCATGTTTCGCACTAAAACACTAATTGTAACAAAAATAAAATATGTGGACGTGGCATTTGTTCGGTTCTGTCCTAAGCCATCGTTTCTGTGAAAAAGGACAGCGGCACCACATTTAAATGTCTTCAGAGCTCAGCACATTTAAGGCAGCGAGAAAGCACCATTTTCTGCTCATTTTCACAAAGCTGGCACACTCTCCTACAAGCAGTCGCCTCGCACCTGCGGTGAGGAGAAAACAACTACGCACGCGCCCGTGGACTCGAACGAAAGAGGTCTGTGGTGCAGGAGTGCTGCAGGTCACTATACGCTTGGCAGTGAAACGAGTGGTGGACTTTTGCGAATGATTTCACAGTAGCCGTAATGACACGTTGCACGTTTTGTGCTTGTTGGCTAGAGGCGTTTGATGAACGGTGCCGGCGAGATGAGTGTAAACCACACGTTGGTTCTGGCACCGCGGCAGCACCAGTTTGTTGACTGAGGTCAGAATTCAGAATGTTGCCCTTTAGGTTTTTAAACCTCAGTGAATTTCAACTAAACACTTGCCTCTGTAAACATGTTTAACTAACGAACCTCCGACAAATGACAAATTCCAGTTGTTGTTTTTTAATAATTAAGTAAGCACACACACTTTCCCCCAGTGTCGTGTGTGCCACCAGCACCTTTTCATTCGCTGTATACTGGACACTCCACCGGAGGCGTCGGACGTCTCACGAGCACAAGTCATGTGGGCCCTTTGCTCTTTAAACCAATCAGAAGACTTCCTCTTCGAATGGGGCGGGGCTTAGAGGGCAGACTCCAATGAGGAGTCCAGCAGGTCGTCGTGGTGACTGGCGCTGTCGCTGTCACAGCTCTGGGCACTGGAGTAGTTCGCAGCTTCCTGTAGCCTCATCAGCATATTCATCTAATGGACAGAAAAGGACAAACACATATGTTTGCAATGCGGAAGATGTTACTCAATATCGCTGTGTAACAGTCAGTGCCAGGGTTACATGTTACAAGTGAGCCCGTTCTCATCCCAAGGCGTCATATGCGACGATTTTGCCAAAGCGTAGACATCCTTTATGGCACCCTTTAGCGTCAAATGAGATGCAGATATATATGGGGCAGAAGGCGCCTCCTAGAGGTCTAACACTACTATAACCGAAGCGTCTCATTTGATGCTAAAGGGTGCCATGTGCGTTGGATGTCTACGCTTTGGCAAAAGTGTCCTATATGACGCCTTGGGATGAGAATGTGTTGGTAATTAAGTTACTTTTCAAGAGTAGCAAGTTTGTTTATTTTTCACCGTTATCCAAGTATACTACAGTATTTATTTACTGACAAATACAATTTAAATGTATCCCTGTTCTAGATCAATAGATCGCTGTAAACAATGTAATTAATGTTACAAACCATTAAAAAAAAATAGCCAAGAATAGTTTTACTGTTCTGAAAGAAACGGTGTGACTGAAAACAAAGTAGCTGAGTTAAAGTAGCGTTAAAGTGTGCCACATTAGCAAAATTTCACAGATAAAAAAGCTCCAGTAATGTATGAATCTCCGCTCAAACCAACCAGCGTTCTGTTAGTCAACATGGCGAATTTGCCTGATCAACTTGAACGGGTTGCGAAATCTGTGAGGGGCAATGTTTGCACTCATGCAATGGAATCTTATCGATTTCTATTGAAACGACTGGATATCCTCGCATTTTTTTTTTTTAAATAAGTCTTTTTGATTATTGCACATGCAATAGTTTACCATGTTACTTTGAAATGTAACATTACCCAACACTGGTCTGTGCTGAACAAACAAACAAACAAACTACTACAGTTATAATGAACTCACACAACCACACTAGTGAAACACAGCCACGACATCAATGAACACTGTAACACTAGTTAAACACAGATAGAATTAAACGTTTGTACCTCATCATTCACACAAAGACACAATAGAGAGAAACACTACAACAGTAAAATCCTTAAATCTATAAACACAAGCGTTATCAGACTGAACCAGATCAAACTGATATTTAAACAAACAACAGCAGTTCTGTCACCTTATAATCTCTGAATGTCTGTTCTCAGAAAAAAAAAAAAAAAAAGAAATGAGAGGAGAAGAGACAGCAAGATGAGACAGTGCAATAATTGTGCATTTAAAGCCTTTGGCTTCTGACCTCAGCGAGCCACAGTCATTATTATAATAGTGTGACAATGAAATTGCCACTAATCACTTTTTGTGATTGGGCCTTATTTGTGAAATACGAACAGAACAAATGTCTGTGTATAAGTGTTTCAAAAGTCATTCTGAGCTGAACTGACTGCAACAAGTTATATACATGAATGTACCGGTACAGATTCATGAATACTGTAGGTCACATTGCATGTACTAAGTGCTGCCACCTTGAGGACATTTATTACGTATCACTCATTCAGACTCTTACATTACAGTTATGTCCACAGGAGGGCAGGAGAGGGCTGTTTTGTTTTAATTCTCTCTCTTTTTGTCACACACGTCTGGTTTACTATCAGACTGTGGGGACTCTTCATAGACGTAATGGGTTTTATACTGTATACAAACTGTATATTCTGTCCCCTTACACTACCCCTACCCCTAAACCTATACATCACACAAAACTTTCTGCATTTTTACATTTTCAAACGTTCTAAGCTTGTTTTCTCATGGGGACCAAAACAAAATTCCCCACAAGGACAAGGATTTTGGATATTGCCATCTTTGTCCCCACAACATAGGTTACACACACACACACACACACACACACACACACACTTATCACTAAGAGACAGGTTATCTGAGCCACTGCTTGTTTATGTTTAAACATGTATAACTTTATTATTCATGGACATTTTAGAAATATATGTGAGCTTTTGATCTGAATAGCACTGTAAACTTTATCATTTCTATGCAGAATTTTTCAGTTCTCCTTTTTGATTGTGTATACATATGGATACATGTCAGCTATCCCTACAAATACACATATAAATGGTGACCTGAAAAATCTGCATTCATTTCCCCCCCAGTCAAATATTGCCCATGTTTCACCTTGCTGCTCTTGGGCAGTTCCTAGTCTAGAAAAAGAGCTAGTTATTTTGCATGACTAGTGATAGTTCTTTACTGATAGACTATACTGTAGTTCTTATTAACTTACAGTATACAAAACTATTCAAAAGTTCGGAGTGTTTCATACAAATGATATACTTTTATTCAGGAAGGATGCATTAAATTGGTCAAAAGTGACAGTAAAGACATTTATAACCTGTCAAAAGATTTACACTTCAAGTAAAAGCTGTTTTTATGAACTTTCTATTATCAAATAATTCGTGGGGGAAAAAGTATCATAGTTTCCACCAAAAAAATAAATAAATAATAAATTGTGAAAGATCATGTATGAGTAATGGCTGCTGAAAATGTAGCTTTGAATCAGAATAGTAATATCACTGTATGTTTGATCCGACCCCAAACTTTTGAACAGGAGTGCATATCTAAATGAACCGTTCTTTATGAAGCTATCTTTACCAGTGGGTCTCCCTCTGTGTCACTCTGAGATACTTGTTTGGAGGCGGCTCCGTCTTTAGAGGAAGTGTAGCCATCATAGCCCACGTCCTCGGGCCGCAGCTGCAGCAGAGACTGGCCTTCATGCTGCAGGGAGGCGGAGCTCCATGGGTAGGTGTCAATCACCCATTTGGAAGGGTCCTCCCATGCCGCCCTCTTACCATACAGCTGGAGTCATAAAAAAAAGGTTTTAGGTATAAATTGTAAGAAATACTTATAATACATGAGTGTGTGTGGTTAAATGTGTACCTGCAGTCCTTCCCGTACTGCTTCCAGAAGATATGGCACTAAAGAATAGTTCCACAGGTCAGTAAACCACACACGTGAGCCGTCCGCATCCATTGGACAGGACAGGAACAGCCGAGGACCTGGAAGCAACATGATTTAACATCTCTGGGCAAAATAACCAAATCAAATATGTTAATTGGCTTGTATGTTGTGTTTATTACCGATAGTGACGTCTGAGGAGCTGTGGGCCTCTAAGAAGGAATTTAGGTGTTGCCAGGTTTTGGGGATCCAGTCGATGATTTTGATGAGGTCGTTGCTGCGCATGTTCTTATCTATCTCAGTTTCAATCAACTTTCTCTTCAGGAATCGGCCCAGGAAGCCCTTCACCGGCTCAGTGTGGTTGGCACACAGCACCCACCTGAGGAGTTGATGGTCTGATATTAAACTGAGAACATGACTGAAAAGATCAGTGTGTGTTTATGTTTTTGTACTGTATGTGTATGTGTGCAAGTGACAAATGTAAAATATGATCACTTATGGCCCCCATGTGGAGTGAAGCTAGAATAACAATCATCATGCTGTGTGTTTTGTTCAAACCCATTGAACACATTACCTGAAGTTGTGATGCAACTCCAAGTTTGGAGATGAGGACACACCCTGGTTCATAGTTCCTATGACATACGGGCTGTGGAAGGGACCGATGCACATAATTATATGCAATTCATTTGCTCAGTTTCAGATACACAAGGAAAATCCACTATAATGGGTGTCACACTGTGGTATAAAATAAACAGTTTCAGTAAGAAATGCTGATTGGTCAACTCAATACAGATAAAAATACATATAGGAAACAATATTTACAGCAATATTTTGATCCTTCAGAAATCATTTTAAAAGGCTGATTTGTACTCAAGAAACATTTGTTCGTATTATCAGTGCTGACAAAAGTTGGAAAAAAGTTAAAAGGAACAACATTTTTTCAAAACAGAAATATTTTTGGAACATTATAAATGTCTTTATTTTCACTTTTTGTTCAATTTAATGTGTCCTTGCTGAACAAAAGTATTCATTTCTTTAAAAACAAAACCATTTGGGTATTGTATATTTACAATATTGATGATCTCTTGTATTTTATTACTTAAAAGCTAAATAAATATATTTGGGGTAACAATAGGAATCATCACCATTTGTGGTATTTGCAGTTGAGGAATCCATTGAAGATGTCACTGAGGGAGCCAATATGATGGAGGTTATCCAGAATAACTACGGTGGGGAGCTCGATCTCACACTCCTCTGTGTTGCACTGCTCGGCCAGGCTAGAGAGGTACTGTCGAAGATCCTGATTTGAGCAAACACAACGCACATTTGTATTACACATCTGAAAACTTTGTCATTACTTTAAAAGGTAACAATCAGTAAGTCATTCACAGGTTGATTTCCCCACAATGTGTAAGTCTGGGGCTCTTTCGAAACATTACTTTTTTATTTTGAGCATATTGGCAATTTTTGACGAATGGTGCGAGTCTAGTGTGGAATTATATGTTGATTTCTGCCAAATGGGGAGAATCTTTGGAAAGCATTTTATAAAACAATTATTTTAACCATTTTTCACAACATTACACTTCTTCTGGATATTGTGAAGTCACAATGTCACTCATTTAAATAATCCCCATACACGGAATAAGCAAAAGAGGATGAAGCCTAAATGATCGACGCTAGTGAAGACCTGCTTTATAGAGTGTTTTTGTTATGTCGAAGAGTTGATGTTTTTTTCCATTCCGGTTGATTTGCCTTCCTAAGGCGGACAAACTTAGAAAACAGTGATTAAAATGTATTATTTTATCTATTATGCACAATTTACGGAGGACAGCTTCCAGAACCTAAGTGAGTACAATGCCGAATACGCACAAAAGCTTCTCCTGAGAGAATTACCAACAGCAATTACCATTTTACCATTGTGGTAAGGGGTGTGACATTTCTGTAACACACTCTAAGCAGTTCGCCAAGCACAATATACTGGGCCAGCTGACCAATCAGAGCATATTTAGTATTTCAGAAGAAACAGGCATTTGAGTCACACTAAGAAGAGAGGAGCTGCAGTGATGTAAAGTATGTGAAAAATAATTAGTTTTTTGACCAATCAAGCATGAAAACCTTTTACACCCCCAAAACAAAATCAAGACTTTGTAAAAGGGCATAATAGGAACCATTTAAAATGAATGCTTCCCAGAATGGAAATACATACCTTGCTGGATTTCTGGTCCACGTTGAAGCTCGCCAAGTTGGTGTCGGTTACCTCTCGACCAGTCTTGGAGATGATGAAGTGAGCCAGTTTAGTGGCTAGGTAGGATTTGCCAGTTCCACTCGGACCGGACAAAATGATTCTACGGTGCTCCATCAGCAGGTTCAAATAGCGTTGGATGATGGGTTTAGGGATCAATGTATCAAACACCAAGTCATCAATACTACCCTCCTTCACACCTACAGTACATAAACAGAAGGACATTTGACTTTTGCTGCACATTTGACCTCTTTTGAGGACCCTACAAGAATCTTTTGAGGTTCCTCACCTTTGAGGCTGACTGTGATGACGTTGTTGTCGCCCACCAGATATCCACAGGGCAACAGTTCAGGCACCTCAGAAGCATGAGATCGGACCACATCCCCCATCCTATAGCACACTATACTATCCGAATTCAGGCCCAGACTGGTCAACGGGTCCACACGGAACACATACTCCTTAATGCAAGAAAATTAATCTGTTAGATCTGAAATATTGGAACTGAAATATATTTGCAAAAGGCTAAACTGGCACCTTAAACAAGCGTCGTATTACACCATCCAACACGTCCCACTTGGTCTTTCCACTGACGCCAATGGAGCCAATCAGATACACCTTCTTCTGCATAGCCTTAGATGACGAGAGGATATGAAATGATGCTCGTAAGGTATGGTTTATTAGTAGTTTCAATTCAAAACTGAGGAGAGTTAAAATCACTCTATACCTTGGTCTTGTTGAAGTCGCTCTTGATCATGACCACTATACGGACGCTCCTGCCCTCTTTGCGTAGGTTGCCCTCATAGCCGTCATCCAGCAGAATATCTGTGCACACAAACACGAACTTCAAACTCACTGCATGACAAAAATATCAAAGCCTGAACAACTAAAAAGACTTATTGCCAAATGAGTCATTGAATCTGGAGGAGAAGAACCTTTTCAGCGCTGACAAATTCGGCAAGCGGAGACATTACAGATAAACGGCAACCGCTTTAAGTTTTGTTGTCTGTGGGGCTGAGCTGTTTGGTTTTAACAGGGATTTAAATAAAGGAGGAGGGCTGTTAGTGGAGGAGTGCGGCTTTGATGGGCCTTGGTGAATGGGCAGAAGGAAGGCGCTTTGTATTCATCCTGCACAAGGTCCTGCAGAGGAGTGATAACGTCCCTTCCACCACACATCCGCCCACGCTCTAGTGCCCCTCCACACATCTCTCCATCAATTAAGTAGCCCAAAGTCCTGAGAGAAAAGGAAGTCACTACTTTTAATTAGCCAGAGAGCAAGTGAGTCCACGCCATCCCACCCCAAAACGTGGCCACAGGCACAGCCTCCCTTAAATCCTCCCTTACAGAAAAGACACCATTTCACTCTTCGCTGCGTTCTTTCTCTTCTCTCGCACAGCTGTGAAATAGTCTTTCCCATGCCAGAGTTTTCATTAACGCCTCACCAGAATCATCAATAATACAGACATATGCAAATCTACACTGCAGTCCATGAGCTGAGCACATTGGTGGAAAACGAAATCATCCGATTGAAAAATATCTACCCACTGTCAGCGGGATGATTATACGTATCAAGTTTGCTTGCAACGGTTTTAATTGTGACCTCATATCCCAAATAGTACCAAGTCTCACTAGAAAACATCAATTTAACACTGTTTATCCATGTATCATCAAAACATTGAGCCATAAAAATAATCAATACCAGGATTCCATAAAGGTTTGGATATTTTGGTTTTATATTTATACTTTTATGAGAAAATGCCGGTCTGTGCTCAAAATTTCATTGGGCCCTATCATACATCCGACGCAATGCAGTGCCAAGCACGATACAAGTGTTTTTTGCTATTTTCAGCCCAACGCAGTTATCATTTTCACCTGCTCCACGTTGTTTAAATAGCAAATGCATTTGCACCTATTTATGCTCCCATGGGCATGCTGGTGTGAAAACGAGGTGTGTTCAGGAGCATTGTTGGCGCTTTGAGGCAACTGAAATAGACTGTGCCATTTACCTACAAAAATCTGGTCTAAAGTCAATGGCGCAATATTTTAGGCGGGTCCACAGTCTGCGTACGCTCTGCTTATTACACACACAGGGATGCACAGCAGCACACAAACTAGCCAAATATTAACAATAAAAGTACATAAACATATGATGGCATCCGGTTTGTCCCGTAGATGGTCTGCTCGCGTGATTTGATGATCTGTTTGCGCTCTGAAGACGTATCAGTCTTTCCGCTTGCAAATTCCATCATGGAAATAGCAATCCGCCAACTTTTAAAGTTGAAGCTTTTAAAGGGAAGGACGGATGAGACTCTGGTTGGTTTATTTCATGTTACGCCCAAAACGCATCCATTACTCATTAAGACAATAAGGACAACCCTTTTAGACCAAGCACCTCACGTGCAACGACCATTTCTCCTGTCGTTAATCTAGCAAAAGTGGATTCAGACACGCCATAAGTGCAATTGCGTCCTGTACTTTTTAGACCATGCACTTAGATCGTTAAAATAGGACCTTTAACTCTAAGACAATAGTCCACACCGCAACTATAATGAAAACCTAAAGGGGTTTACATTTTTTTATATTGTTGTCTGAGGTCAACTTATGACGTTTGCTTGGTTTTTACATTCAAAAACTTCAAAATGAATAAGTAATAGGCTATTTTCAACCCTAGATTTGAACCTAGCTCAAAACGCTTGGTTTTTATGGGCGTCTCGCATTGAAGACTTGGAAGTAAACGCCCACTGCTGTGAGTGGATAACAGATTTGCATATTATAATGAGTTTTAACTCACTTGCTTATGCAGCGACTGTCTTCTACTACAGGCAGGCATTACACAATGTTTATTGCTTGGCAGCTCGATCCGATTTGTCATCATGATGTAGGCCTATGTTATTTAGCTATGCGTATAATGCGCGAATCAGTGGGCGGGGCTAAACCGGCCGTGTTGAAGTAGGCGTTGATCTTCTTCTGCGGGCGTGGTGTTTTATCCTCTTTGACGTCATAGTTCCCCACTTTGAAAAACGAGTCGTTTGTTGAGCCTGGTGTTAATAAAAGCTTTTATTGGACTAACAAAGATATTTTTAGTTCTGAAACTTACAGGATATTCTTATAATATGATGACCTCTTAGATGTCAAAAGCTCAAGGAACATTTTATTTCTCAGTTCATCACCCCTTTAAACAGAGGAACATTATTGCTGTATTTTTTTTCAGTTAATGAGCTATAAATCGAACCCGAGTTTTGTTGTTATATTGGACTGAGTTGAGTACAGCAATCAAACAAATTTATGTATATTCATCATATTGTCATTCTAACTACATCTATAACATATTTACATCTGAAGAAGATCCAAATACTTTTCACAATCCCCCAAAATAAGGTAGCAATGGCTAAAGCAACATTTTGATGGTGCATACTAGAAATAAACATTGTTAGATCCAAATAACTCCACATTCATATTTTGAAGCAAAGCCTGACCTGACATAATGGTGTCTGTGATGTTGAGGTTGTTCAGCGATAGCCCCAGAGATTGGCGTGAGGACGAGGAGGACGTGCTGGAGGTTTCTGAAGGTGGACGGGCTGTTTTAGCAGGTGTGGCAGCAGGTGTGGTGTTGCCACTGGACTTGAGTCTGTCATTCTCAGCCTTCAGCAGCTCAATCTCATTCTGTACAGAAAAAAACAGGTCATGTCAAAACTACAATGATAGCAACAATAAAACTACAGCACATTTCCCTAACCGGAAATATATATGCAGTCAACACATACTATTATGTTACTAGAAAAAAAGGGAACTTTCCCACACACTTCAAAACTGAAATATGCTTTTGTGACATACCAAGAAGATTAGGACTCGCTCTTTGTTGTCTAAGATTCTAAACTGTTTCTAAGGCTTTTAATGACTGTGAGAAGTTAAAGATTGTGTTAATCTTTAGATTAGACTTGTGTGCCAGGCTCAGAAAACCAGTGCTAAGGAAAAGCTCAGACAGATACTTCAAGAGTATGAACAACACAGTCTTGGAATTAGGGGAATTTGGCCCTTTTATCAACAGTTACTTTGATCTTAGTCATAAGCGTTTGCATGCAAACAGTTCATTTAATAAATCAAGTTTGTGGGATTCTGTGTGAGTCCTAATAGAGTTTAGGAGTTAACTGTTTTCAACATTACTTGTTATAAAAAAATGTGCCTTGAGCACCAAATCAGCATATTATGATAATTACTAAAGGATCATGTGACTGGAGACTGGAGTAATTGCTGCTAAACATTCAGCTTTGCCATCACAACTTTTAATATAATACTATAATATTTTTAATATAATACAAAGATCACTGAATTGGATTATAATTCCCAAGACAATTATATAATGTTGCAGGGCCCAGAGTGAGTCAGCATGTATACGTGTGCGCGTGTGTGTGTGTGTACCTGCATGCGATTCATGGCTTCTCGTATCTGATCAAGGTGGTGGGCGGAGCTTAACGCCTCCAGTCTGATATCAGTCAGCTTCAGCTCCTTTTCTCTCAGTTCATTCTTCAGCTGTAGGATAATCTCTGCCTCGGCCTCTGTACATTCACACAGTCTGCACAAACACACACCATACAGGGAGGAGGTGGGTCACAACACTGTTACACATCACAGAGAGCTACTGTACAAAATGCAGGTGGGTTTAATGCACAACAAACTCTTGGAGAATTAGATGGGGTCAAAAAATGTATGTCCACAAACACTTTGATGCACACAAATTCACACACTGGGCTTTGTGTTTTATATTTGTGAGGTCTGCTGCATTCCATTCAAAGTTGGATGTGAGATGCAAAGCTCCCTGGGGACAGCCATGTTAGCCTGACATACTTTTCCACACCTTGGTGAAACTGGAGTTGTGAATTTATGCATGTCAGACTTTTAGTGAAATTCTATTGCATAGAAAAAAGTAGTAGGAAATTCCAACTTTTCGAGATGGAATGTGGCATTAGAGATCACACTCATGATCAAAACAAACAGGAAGTGGGTATCTTGTCCTTTATTAAGGTTTGTTCAAACCAAAAACAATAACTAATATAGCTGCAAGCAGCCATTACCGGGGCCAAGCGCAAGAAGCGGCAACATATGCCAAAATGGCAAGGAGTGGCAGACCAACTGCAGCAAGGAGCAATTAAGGGCATTTTGAGAGAACTTTGGGCAAATGGCTAAGAAAATCACATAAACATTAACTTATAAGATGATTTAATGGGTTATCACTTTCGAACAATAGGTGGCGCAGTTACGAAATAGATGTGATGTGGTCAGAGTGAGGTGACAATGACACATGCAAAGTTTGGTGTCAAAATGTGAAGGCATTGCAGAGATAAAGCCTAAATAGTAATTTTGGCAGCATGCCTAAATTTCGATGCTGTGGTATACGAAAACGGTTTTGTCTATCATCGTGCAATTCATTAACTTTTAGTCGGCACGGTCTGGAGATGATACGATTCAATTTTCGTGAAAATCGGACAAACGGTCTAGGAGGAGTTCGAAAAAGAAGGTTTTCCAAAGGAAATAAAAATGGCGAACAGGACGTTTGTCTGATTATGGAAAACCTGATATCTATGTTTTCGGCATAACCGAAGGAATCTAGATCAGTTTCATTGCAATAGGCAAATTTATTCAAAAGTTATTAGCGTTCTCAGAAATTAATTATAACTTTTGACCAACAGGTGGCGCTGTCTCAAAATCTTTTGAGTACCTTCAGGGCATGCTGCTTATGGCACACACTGAGTTTTGTAATATTACACCAATGCATTTGTTTAGTATAGCATTTTATTTCACAAAACTCTATTGAAGTCAATGGGAATTTCACGTTTTGTTCTATTATAGCGCCACCAAGAGGCTCAGTCCCACAATTTTTTTTATGTGTCCTCAGAGTGACCCCATACATATGTGTGTCAATTTTGGTGCAAATATCTCAATTCACTTCCGAGTTATAAACATTTATATGAAAAAACACGTAAAAAATGACTGACACATGACTTTGTTTGAATTTTACTACCCCTTACTATCAATATTTTCGCATTTGGGCATTAGCGTATAGTTAACAAGCTATGATTCCGTGTTTCTGGCGGTGGTTTCGTCTCGATCGGAACAGCGGTTTTGAAGATATCGCCAAGTGTTTTTTCCGCGCTAAATCGCTACGCTACACCAACCGTAACACGAAACCCAGCATGTTTAGTATCGTTGGACTCGGCAACGATTCAGGAACTCAAAAAGATGACTCCCGTGAAAATAAGTGTACCACACCCAAAGTTATAAGCGTTTGAAAAAAACAATTCACCACTAGGTGGCGCTGTTTCGAAACTTCTCAGGCTTCTTCAGGGCATCGTCCTGATGACCCATACCGAGTTTCGTAACAATTCGTTCATGCGTTCAAAAAATACAGCATTTTAGCACATAATTCAAAATGGCCGACAGCCAAAATGGCCGATCTGGGAAAATTGCATATCAGTCGACTCGGCATGATGCCCTGAATCTAACGAGATGAAGTTTATGATTTTTGGACAAACCGTTCAGAAGTTACGAGCAAAAATAGCCATTTTTCATATCTCCGGACCACTAGGTGGCGCTGCGCCGAAACGCTGCATGTAGCCTCAGGTCATGCTTGTGATAACATGTACCAAGTTTGGTCTGAATAGGATTAAGCGTTGCGGAGATACAGCCTCACGTCTGTTTTTGCAAGCGCTACGTAAAATTAGTTTGCGCGTTTATCGAAAACGGTTCTTCGAATCATCTTGAATTCCATAACTTTTTGTCAGCACTGCCTGGAGATGATCCGGTGCGATTTTGGTGAAAATCGGACAAACCGTCTAGGACGAGTTCGCAAAAGTAGGTTTTTTGGAAAATTCAAAATGGCGGCCATTTTTTTATGACGGAAAATGACGTCATAGGGTGCGATCGAATCGGCATGAGCTCAGGAACAAGAGGAAAAAAGAATTTTGTTGATAGGCCTTACGGTTCAAAAGTTATTAGCATAATAAAAGTGCAACTTTGGACAGTTGGTGGCGCTAGAGGGAATGAGTTAGAGACACCAAAATTGGTGTATTTAAAGTTGGGACTGTCCTCTATCAGAATGTCAAACCAAAACAACTTTCCCGCAAACCGGTCTATGGGCTGCCATAGACGCCCAGTCGGAAGAAGAATAATAATAAATATAGCTGCAAGCAGCCATTACCGGGGCCAAGCGCAAGAAGCGGCAACATATGCCAAAATGGCAAGGAGTGGCAGACCAACTGCAGCAAGGAGCAATTAAGGGCATTTTGAGAGAACTTTGGGCAAATGGCTAAGAAAATCACATAAACATTAACTTATAAGATGATTTAATGGGTTATCACTTTCGAACAATAGGTGGCGCAGTTACGAAATAGATGTGATGTGGTCAGAGTGAGGTGACAATGACACATGCAAAGTTTGGTGTCAAAATGTGAAGGCATTGCAGAGATAAAGCCTAAATAGTAATTTTGGCAGCATGCCTACATTTTGACGCTGTGGTATACGAAAACGGTTTTGTCTATCATCGTGCAATTCATAACTTTTAGTCGGCACGGTCTGGAGATGATACGATTCAATTTTCGTGAAAATCGGACAAACGGTCTAGGAGGAGTTCGAAAAAGAAGGTTTTTCAAAGAAATAAAGATGACGAACAGGAAGTTTGTCTGATTATGGAAAACCTGATATCTATGTTTTCGGCATAACAGAAGGAATCTATTAAGATCAGTTTCATTGCAATAGGCAAATTTATTCAAAAGTTATTAGCGTTCTCAGAAATTAATTATAACTTTTGACCAACAGGTGGCGCTGTCTCAAAATCTTTTGAGTACCTTCAGGGCATGCTGCTTATGGCACACACTGAGTTTTGTAATATTACACCAATGCATTTGTTTAGTATAGAATTTTAATTCACAAAACTCTATTGAAGTCAATGGGAATTTCACGTTTTGTTCTATTATAGCGCCACCAAGAGGCTCAGTCCCACAATTTTTTTTATGTGTCCTCAGAGTGACCCCATACATATGTGTGTCAATTTTGGTGCAAATATCTCAATTCACTTCCGAGTTATAAACATTTATATGAAAAAACACGTAAAAAATGACTGACACATGACTTTGTTTGAATTTTACTACCCCTTACTATCAATATTTTCGCATTTGGGCATTAGTGTATAGTTAACAAGCTATGATTCCGTGTTTTTGGCGGTGGTTTCGTCTCGATCGGAACAGCGGTTTTGAAGATATCGCCAAGTGTTTTTTTCGCGCTAAATCGCTACGCTACACCAACCGTAACACGAAACCCAGCATGTTTAGTATCGTTGGACTCGGCAACGATTCAGGAACTCAAAAAGATGACTCCCGTGAAAATAAGTGTACCACACCCAAAGTTATAAGCGTTTGAAAAAAAAAATTCACCACTAGGTGGCGCTGTTTCGAAACTTCTCAGGCTCCTTCAGGGCATTGTACTGATGACCCATACCGAGTTTCGTAACAATTCGTTCATGCGTTCAAAAAATACAGCATTTTAGCACATAATTCAAAATGGCCGACCGCCAAAATGGCCGTTCTGGGAAAATTGGATATCGGTGGACTCGGCATGACGCCCTGAATCTAACGAGACCAAATTTATGATTTTTGGACAAACCGTTCAGAAGTTACGAGCAAAAATAGCCATTTTTCATATCTCCGGACCACTAGGTGGCGCTGCGCCGAAACGCTGCATGTAGCCTCAGGTCATGCTTGTGATAACATGTACCAAGTTTGGTCTGAATAGGATTAAGCGTTGCGGAGATACAGCCTCACGTCTGTTTTTGCAAGCGCTACGTAAAATTAGTTTGCGCGTTTATCGAAAACGGTTCTTCGAATCATCTTGAATTCCATAACTTTTTGTCAGCACTGCCTGGAGATGATCCGGTGCGATTTTGGTGAAAATCGGACAAACCGTCTAGGACGAGTTCGCAAAAGTAGGTTTTTTGGAAAATTCAAAATGGCGGCCATTTTTTTATGACGGAAAATGACGTCATAGGGTGCGATCGAATCGGCATGAGCTCAGGAACAAGAGGAAAAAAGAATTTTGTTGATAGGCCTTACGGTTCAAAAGTTATTAGCATAATAAAAGTGCAACTTTGGACAGTTGGTGGCGCTAGAGGGAATGAGTTAGAGACACCAAAATTGGTGTATTTAAAGTTGGGACTGTCCTCTATCAGAATGTCAAACCAAAACAACTTTCCCGCAAACCGGTCTATGGGCTGCCATAGACGCCCAGTCGGAAGAAGAATAATAATAATAATAATAATACCGCACAGATACAATAGCTGCATGCTTGCCTAATATAGCTGCAAGCAGCATTACCGGGGCCAAGCGCAAGAAGCGGCAACATATGCCAAAATGGCAAGGAGTGGCAGACCAACTGCAGCAAGGAGCAATTAAGGGCATTTTGAGAGAACTTTGGGCAAATGGCTAAGAAAATCACATAAACATTAACTTATAAGATGATTTAATGGGTTATCACTTTCGAACAATAGGTGGCGCAGTTACAAAATAGATGTGATGTGGTCAGAGTGAGGTGACAATGACACATGCAAAGTTTGGTGTCAAAATGTGAAGGCATTGCAGAGATAAAGCCTAAATAGTAATTTTGGCAGCATGCCTAAATTTGATGCTGTGGTATACGAAAACGGTTTTGTCTATCATCGTGCAATTCATAACTTTTAGTCGGCACGGTCTGGAGATGATACGATTCAATTTTCGTGAAAATCGGACAAACGGTCTAGGAGGAGTTCGAAAAAGAAGGTTTTTCAAAGAAATAAAGATGGCGGACAGGAAGTTTGCTGATTATGCAAAACCTGATATCTATGTTTTCGGCATAACCCAAGGAATCTATTAAGATCAGTTTCATTGCAATAGGCAAATTTATTCAAAAGTTATTAGCGTTCTCAGAAATTAATTATAACTTTTGACCAACAGGTGGCGCTGTCTCAAAATCTTTTGAAGTACCTTCAGGGCATGCTGCTTATGGCACACACTGAGTTTTGTAATATTACACCAATGCATTTGTTTAGTATAGCATTTTATTTCACAAAACTCTATTGAAGTCAATGGGAATTTCACGTTTTGTTCTATTATAGCGCCACCAAGAGGCTCAGTCCCACAATTTTTTTATGTGTCCTCAGAGTGACCCCATACATATGTGTGTCAATTTTGGTGAAAATATCTCAATTCGCTTCCGAGTTATAAACATTTATATGAAAAAACAGTAAAAAATGACTGACACATGACTTTGTTTGAATTTTACTACCCCTTACTATCAATATTTTCGCATTTGGGCATTAGCGTATAGTTAACAAGCTATGATTCCGTGTTTCTGGCGGTGGTTTCGTCTCGATCGGAACAGCGGTTTTGAAGATATCGCCAAGTGTTTTTTTCGCGCTAAATCGCTACGCTACACCAACCGTAACACGAAACCCAGCATGTTTATTGTAGTATCGTTGGACTCGGCAACGATTCAGGAACTCAAAAACATGACTCCCGTGAAAATAAGTGTACCACACCCAAAGTTATAAGCGTTTGAAAAAAAAATTCACCACTAGGTGGCGCTGTTTCGAAACTTCTCAGGCTCCTTCAGGGCATCGTACTGATGACCCATACCGAGTTTCGTAACAATTCGTTCATGCGTTCAAAAAATACAGCATTTTAGCACATAATTCAAAATGGCCGACAGCCAAAATGGCCGATCTGGGAAAATTGGATATCGGTCGACTCGGCATGACGCCCTGAATCTAACGAGACCAAGTTTATGATTTTTGGACAAACCGTTCAGAAGTTACGAGCAAAATAGCCATTTTTCATATCTCCGGACCACTAGGTGGCGCTGCGCCGAAACGCAGCACGTAGCCTCAGGTCATGCTTGTGATAACACGTACCAAGTTTGGTCTGAAAACGAGTAAGCGTTGCGGAGATACAACCTCACGTCTGTTTTCGCAAGCGCTACGTAAATTTGTTTACGCGTTTATCGAAAACGGTTATTCGAATCATCTTGAATTCCATAACTTTTTTGTCAGCACTGCCGGAGATGATCCGGTGCGATTTTGGTGAAAATCGGACAAACCGTCTAGGACGAGTTCGCAAAGTAGGTTTTTTGGAAAATTCAAAATGGCGGCCGTTTTTTTATGACGGAAATGACGTCATAGGGTGCGATCGAATCGGCTTGAGCTCAGGAACAAGAGGAAAAAAGAATTTTGTTGATAGGCCTTACGGTTCAAAAGTTATTAGCATAATAAAAGTGAAACTTTGGACAGTTGGTGGCGCTAGAGGGAATGAGTTAGAGACACCAAAATTGGTGTATTTAAAGTTGGGACTGTCCTCTATCAGAATGTCAAACCAAAACAACTTTCCCGCAAACCGGTCTATGGGCTGCCATAGACGCCCCAGTCGGAAGAAGAATAATAATAATAATAATAATAAGAACGCACAGATACAATAGGTGCCTCCGCACCTTCGGTGCTTGGCCCCTAATAAATATAGCTGCAAGCAGCCATTACCGGGCCAAGCGCAAAAAGTGGCAACATATGCCAAAATGGCAAGGAGTGGCAGACCAACTGCAGCAAGGAGCAATTAAGGGCATTTTGAGAGAACTTTGGGCAAATGGCTAAGAAAATCACATAAACATTAACTTATAAGACGATTTAATGGGTTATCACTTTCGAACAATAGGTGGCGCAGTTACGAAATAGATGTGATGTGGTCAGAGTGAGGTGACAATGACACATGCAAAGTTGGTGTCAAAATGTGAAGGCATTGCAGAGATAAAGCCTAAATAGTAATTTTGGCAGCATGCCTAAACTTTGATGCTGTGGTATACGAAAACGGTTTTGTCTATCATCGTGCAATTCATAACTTTTAGTCGGCACGGTCTGGAGATGATACGATTCAATTTTCGTGAAAATCGGACAAACGGTCTAGGAGGAGTTCGAAAAAAAAGGTTTTTCAAAGAAATAAAGATGGCGGACAGAAGTTTTGCTGATTATGGAAAAACCTGATATATCTATGTTTTCGGCATAACCCAAGGAATCTATTAAGATCAGTTTCAATTGCAATAAGCAAATTTATTCAAAAGTAATTAGCGTTCTCAGAAATTAATTATAACTTTTGACCAACAGGTGGCGCTGTCTCAAAATCTTTTGAGTACCTTCAGGGCATGCTGCTTATGGCACACACTGAGTTTTGTAATATTACACCAATGCATTTGTTTAGTATAGCATTTTATTTCACAAACTCTATTGAAGTCAATGGGAATTTCACGTTTTGTTCTATTATAGCGCCACAAGAGGCTCAGTCCCACAATTTTTTTTATGTGTCCTCAGAGTGACCCCATACATATGTGTGTCAATTTTGGTGCAAATATCTCAATTCCCTTCCGAGTTATAAACATTTATATGAAAAACACAGTAAAAAATGACTGACACATGACTTTGTTTGAATTTACTAAACCCCTTACTATCAATATTTTCGCATTTGGGCATTAGCATATTGTTAACAAGCTATGATTCCGTGTTTCTGGCGGT